TTCACAACTTCTACTTCTAAGAAAATTTAATAATGTCAAACAATTATAACAAATTTTTATGGGTTTATTTATCGTGAGTTTTGAAAAAATTTGTGCTACTATTATTATAGTACTTCACCATGAAAAGCACAATGATTAAAAATACTGATATGCCATAAAAAAGGAATACTAATTCCTAAAACCAAGAGGTCACATTTATGTTATCAGTAATGCTTCGTTGTAGCAACATTAAATTACCTGATTAATTTATGATTCCCGTCTATGTGATACAGAGATCTCGGAGCTCTCACATTATACTGTCTTCGCCGTATTGTGTGAAGTCGGCGTGTAAATGAGCAATGAGGATCTATCCTTCGTAACGATTCCCTAACTCTTATTTCCTGAACCCAAATCCCCCTACGAAGAAGATGGCCTTGCATTGTGCAGTTCCCGCACATAGGAAATGAACTTTGAATGCTTCTGGTCATTAAATCTAGTTCATTGTCAGTAATTTCAGCATACTGGGCTGTAATGGATATTCCATACTGCTCCATTCTCCTAAATATCGTGCGAACAAATACACCAATTATACCAGCAATTTGGGGGACGGTGAAATGATTCTCTACTAAATAAACCAACTGGCTTTTAGGAATATTAAACATTGGACGACCAGCTCTACCACTGGTGGGTGAGGGCTTTCTTCTACGGCATTGAATTCTGTCAGCAAGCCCAGAGCTCTTCTCACGAGTTCGCTTGCTTCATTCTCACTGTCATTTAATCCCTCTTCAAAATCTTTCACTAACAACTCTCTGTAAACCAATTCAAATGAAAATAAGCTGCCATCCACATCAGGTGTAAGTATCAGCTCAGTGTTACGTGACAAAACACTTGCTACCCTACGAAGAGTGTCACAAATCCAGGTGTACTCAGCCATCAATCATTAATTTTAATCAATGTGTCTATTGTCACGTGATTCTAAGTTGCGAAAGTGAAAATCAAATTGCTGTACATTATAAAAATAATCACATCAGTCATTACGAATGATAATAAGACTCAGCAATAAGTGACAAAAATTTATTCACAAAAATAATTAATGTCAATCAGAAATGCATTATTGGAAACCACCATCTGCAGGAGGCAAGAAAGTAGAGAGGGTCAGTGACATTACTCACATTATTTCCTACAACGAAAAATAAAACTAGAAATCTACAAAACAAGTAGAAAAAGGTCATCTTCTATTCTTAAGTTACTAAATGTATGAACCCAGCCTAACCCCACACTTCTGAATAAGAAACAACTTTTAAAAAATCCACGAAATGTGTCTGAAATGGTTTGTTAAATGCAATCATCATCATGAAATCAAGTAATGACTTAAACACTTCACAAAAGAACTTCAAAGAGACTGAAAGACGGTGACAGTAGACCTAACAAAATTCAGTTAATGCTAGAATTAAACCACAGATACAACCAACACCTTAACGATATGAGCTAGCCACTTCTTCATAAACCTCTGCATATACGTGATGTTCGTGAGCTTCACTCCACAGATATAACGGAACACTGCAATGAAATACACATGGAAGCCAGTACCACCCTGCAACACAGCCAGCTGCCCCAGTTTAAGAAGTACACTCCCTCCTATTGATGTACATTAGCAATAACAAAATTAACTCAATGCTTATAGTCTGTTGGAATGTCTGCATAACCTACTCTTAGAGCAACAGAGTTGCTTCTCATTAATGTTGTGAACCCCTTTTATTAACATTAGTATGTGGACACAACTGCACGTTGTAGTAAAGAGAAAAACTGTCATATCCAGACCCTCAAAACTCCACCTAAAAGAATATAATCATTGCAAATAATCGACACAATGATAAAACGTGTATCAGTTTAGAGGAGACTCTGCTGCATTTCTTTGTACTCTTGCTTCCAGGAAATTATTTCTCTTCATCATAATAGTCATCAATTCTTCTTTGACAATATCCTAAAGAATTGGGGTCAATTACAATTGAAATTTGAATTAAGTACAATTACAATAACATAATTGTACAATTGTCATTGATACGTGTATGAATATTAAACCATCGACCGTAAATGTAATTGCAGCTAGTCATAACTTACATTACCAGATGAGACACATAATACAGATAATTAAAACAGTTTAGGTGATATTCTCTATCCATGAGGTAAAATCTCTTGCTTTTGATCGTTTTACACCCTACTGAAAGCTAAACGTCCTAATGCTCCTTTTAAAAACTTTAAAGCAGTTTGTAAGTATTGTAAAGTTAAAGTGTTAAGGCAACTTCAAACTTTATCACTCATCTAAAGGGAAAACCAACATGTTAGTATTTCATTTTAGAGGAAACATCCAGACATAGTGTAGTCCAGCAACACAATCTGTTCTTGTAATACACAGTAGTGCAACTGAAACTAAGTACTGGTGATGCTTTGAGAGGCTCCAGAGAAGAAATTTTAAAAAGTAGAGACAGTAAACAATAAAGTCACCTTTTATATTATCAAGACAATTATAATTTAATATTTTTCAAGATAATTTACGACTTTTACTAATTTAGAATGGTTAAATTTGAAGAAAGGCTAAAAACAATGA